AAAGAGAAGAAAATGAAAATTGGAAAAAGAAAATCGTCATGGCAATTGGCGAATGAGACCAAGTTAGGGTTTCCATTTTCCATCCACGATTTCCTTTTTCCAGTTTCCATACAAGCATTCGCCAATCCACGATTTTCTTTTTTCAGTTTCCATGCAAGCATTCGCCAATTGCCATGACGATTTCCTTTTTCCAATTTTCATTTTCTTCTCTTTCGCCAACTCAAATGGCGAACGCCGGATGGATTGTTAGCCATTTAAATTTTTTTTTTGAAATACTTGTTATTTTGGTATTTATTATTTAATATATGGTTATTATAAAAAAAAATTCTATTACTTACTCTTTTCTTTTCAAAATAAATTAATAATTTTTTTTACACATATTAAAAAAAATAAAAAAGTATGTTTATTAAAGGGCCATTATCATATATTGGTGTGTTACAAAATATTTTGATATATTCACTTTATTATCAATATAAAATTAAAAATATAAAATTAAGAATTACATGATTAGTGTTAAACAAAAGATACAATTCAAGAAAAATAATTAATATTAAGATATAATTGATACCTCACTAACAATATAAATATATTTGGTGTTTATGTTTTACTTTAATCACATTTTAAAGTCATAAATGATGATCATGACCATCAATCGTTTAAAAATTTTATACCAACAATATATAGAAATTAAATTCTTAAAATTATATTTAAAATAAGCAAAACCTTTTTTTAAACTACATCTATTCAAATCGACAGATATTAATCTCTAATCAATCCAATAATTTTGAGATGCTTTTGTTTATAAATATATTGTATGCAATTAATGATAAAATATGTATAATTTTGATTATACTTTTTAGGGTTCAACCTATATATAAATATGTACTCATGCCATATAAACATTAACCATCCACTTTATTTTGTTTTGCAGAAAAAATATACAAGTGGAGCTATAATGGAGAAAAAATTGAAAAAGATATTGAAGTTGATGTTGTTGTTTGTTATTATTGTGGCTATCTTATTGGGAAGTGTAGATGGAGCAAGAAGACTCAACAGTGATTGTGACTATAAGCCATTATTGCCAGAAGCTTGTATTGTAAATCCAAATTGTTGTTCTCCAACTATGACTCCACCTTCTTAGGTTTTTGTTTTCTTTTTCTACTATAAACTATTTTGGCTTTAGAAAGGGTAGTGGTTAAGTTTATGTAATGATTTGGAGTTAATTATATGAATTATTAAGAAATTATTATTGTTTATTGTTAATTATATGAATGCTTTGTCTCTTACAAATATCATAATTTTTAGTATTACTTTTTTGCATAAAAATTTCAAAATTATCATCCGACAATAGATCTTGATTGGATAAATTGCTTAATTGTTGTTTATAATACGAATATTTATTATTATAAATATTATGTATAAATTATTTATAATAATATTTTTTATAAATTAGAAATTTTATGAAAACAAATTAAAATAATTAATAAATAATATCATAAATTGTTTTTTATTTTATTTTATTTTAACCAACAATTGCCTTTAATTGAAAAATAAATTTCTTTTTTTTTTAAATGTTAATTTTTTTCTTTTTTTCTCTAAATTTTTTTATTTGATGGGTATCCGGCTAGTTTTAAAATAAAGTCGATAAGATAGATGGTTGGGAGGGAGTAAAGTAATAAATTACTACTTCTTTTAAAATAAAAAATATGATTAATTTTATATTGAATAAATTTTTTATAAAATTATACACTATTAATATAATAAAAAGAAAAATTACATATTTTTCTTTGGTATGATTCTACATTACAATTTTCAGATTATTGATATTAGTATTGACTCTATAATTATTAACACGTTTAGATTGTTTTTTTTTATGTTATTACATAAATCTTGATTTTTTTTATTAATTCATTTTTTAATTTTAATATTTTGATGTGATTTAAATAATACAATTTTTTAATATTATTATTTTACAATATATTTCTATTATATTAATTTTTATAGTCATATTTGAGGGGAAAAAATTAAACGAACATATCTATAGTTTTAATAAAAAGGTCTTATTTCATATTTGTATCGGGTATATTTATACGAACATAAGTAACTCAGAAAAAAGTAAAATCAAATATTAATATAAAAATTTAGTTACTATTTTTATTTTTTATTTATTTTGATTTACAAAATTCTCATATTTTAACTTTAAATTATTTGAATATTTTTATTTTTTTCAATTAAAAATAAAAAAGTATTCTTTATTTACTTATATTTTTTACCTATAAAATTTCAAAAAAAAAAAAACATTTCAAGAGACTTATCTTTAAATCTTTTTAAAAGGAATAGATAAGAAGCTACGAGTTTTAAGGAGAGAGTGTAATGGGTTTAAAGTAGGGGTGGATAAGTTTTTATCACTTGACTGAAAACCGAGATGTCCAATATAAAACAGTTTCACGGTTGCAACGGAGTGGCTGAAACGGATGCTGTTGAATTTGTGAAGATTTTACCCCTATCTTTATACCCACACTTCTACACTCAAAAATATTGAACTAAAATACCCTTATTTAAATATTTATAATTTTAACATTTTTTTTATTTTCACTTCATTTCCACTTATTTCCATTTCAAGACTTCTGGAGAGCTCTTCATCCATTTACAAACCGGAACTCTTCTACCAACTCTTCCGGAACACATTTGATTTTCAATACATACCGGAACTCTAAGAGTAAGTCTTCCGGTTTGTATTTTGTTTTTGTTTCTTCACCGAAACTCTTTCCTGAAGACTTCCGGTTCACAAAAATTTTGAGTTTATTCACCGGAACTCTTTCCTGAAGACTTCCGGTTCACAAAATTTTTCGTTTCTTCTCTGGAACTCTTTCTTGAAGAATTCCGGTTCACAAAATTTTTCGTTTCTTCTCCGGAACTCTTTCTTGAAGACTTCCGGTTCATTGTTTTTTTTTAAAATTTTTAATTTCTAATTATATTTATTTATTTATTTTTAATTTTTAATTATATTGATTTTTTTCCAGTGGTGCGCACACGAGACAGAGATTGTAGGATCCCTCGTAGACTAGGACGGGGCGAGTCATCGAGGATGGCTGAAGAAGAGCATTTTGATGCATCTGGATCAGCATCCGAGCCGGTTGGATATCCAGGAGGACCGTATGATACATCTCTGTTAGTTAAGTACGAACAACATGTTGCATACCGTATATGGTTCAGTGAGGTAAGTAAACGAAAATTATTTAATATTTTTACTTTTAATTTTTTTCAGGAGAGGGGGTCGAAGAAAGAGTTAAAGGTGGCGGGACATGGGTTGAAGTTGACTCAGAGGGTTCCACTACAGCTACCCATAGAGATGGATAGTTGGATATCTAGGTCTGGTCTAGCTTCACTCCAGAGAACCAGTTTAACAAAGATAGACACAAACCTAGTTTTTGCTTTTGCAGAGAGGTGGCATCTAGAGACATCTTCATTTCACATGCCGTTTGGTGAGATGACGTATCTTGCCTGCTTCACTTGCCCATCAGGGGAGTCTTCTGGAGCCCTCAAGATATCAGTGAAGCGCTTGCTGTTGAGTGGGCTGTTGATTATTTAGGAGTGTCACAGAGAATAGCACAGCAACAAGTCCGTGAGTGCAGGGGTTCCTACTATAAGCTGGAGTGGTTATATGATCGGTTCGTAGAGCACAGAGCTGCATCTCGATGGGATTATGCCACTAGAGCTTATTTGCTGATGTTAGTGGGTTCCACTATTTTTGCGGACAAGACGTTTACGCTTGTCGAGGCACGATACCTCTCACTGTTTATAGACTTGGATGGCTTATCAGGATACAGTTGGGCAGCAGCTGCGTTGGTTACTCTTTACAGATATCTCGGAGATGCTTCCATGGTCAGCTGTAAGCAGCTTGGTGGTTATCCGACTCTCCTACAAGTATTTATTTAAATTTAGTATATTTTGTTTTAATTAATTTTATCTAGTATATTAATTTTATTTATCTAGTTTATTATGTTATAATTAATTATTTTAAATTTAGTAACCCTATTAATTTTGTAACAGTGCTGGATTCATGAGTATTTTCCAACACTTGGGAAAAGAGGAGAGAACTGGATACCAGCTAATAATGTGGGTCTCCCTCGAGCGATGAGATGGTCCTATAGGCAAGGTGCCTTGAAGGTGGATGACTTGCGGCCTATTTTGGACGAGCTGACACCTGTCGATGTCATATGGCGCCCATTCGAGAATCATAGAGTATGGCGTCAGTTTGATGAGTTATGTCTCTATAGGGGGTGTCTGAGGTGGGGTGACACTATTGTTCCATACTTGCCTGACAGATGTATGCGTCAGTTTGGATACAGACAGTATGTTCCACATCCACCTCTGGATTCTCGAATGGCTAGTGATATTGATATTGACTGGATTGGTTACCATCAGAGTGTTCAGAATGTGATTCGTCCGACAGCATCGGCCACCACCCCATATGAGACAGATGATGGGTATCTTGAGTGGTATTATCGTGTTTCGCATCCTCGTCTGGTACCGCCCAGTGTTGATGCGACAACAGAGATGTCAGTTCCTATATATGAAGCAGGACCATCTGATCCTATAGTGGCCCGTATGTCTTCATTGATTCATCGTTATCTTCAACAGACTGGTGCTGAAGAGGATGACCCACAGTTTGCTGATTTGTTCGAAGCTTTACATCTTGGTCGATCACAGTGACTTATATTTATATTTATGGTTATATGTTAATCTTTAGACTCATTTGACCTAATTGGTTTATGTTCATGTGTTAACTTTTAGACTCATTTGACCTATTTAGTTTATGTTTATGTGTTAACATAATTCACGATTCATGTTTTGAAATTAAAAATGAATAACATAATTCACGATTCATGTTTTGCAATTAAAAATGAGTAACATAATTCACGATTCTTGTTTTGAAATTAAAAACGAGTAACATAATTCACGATTCTTGTTTTGAAATTAAAAATGAGTAACATAATTTATAATTCATAATGCGTTGGTAATATAGGCGTAAGTTGTTGCCAATGTTGTAGACATCCTGCAAATCCTATCATCCAAGATGTTGCTGCTGGAGAACGAAACTTCTTCCAATCTACTGTCACTGGTGGCAATGGAAACCCTTCTTTCATGTTTACCTAAATAAAAAATAATCACAATATTAAGTAAAAATAACGAAAAAGAATTAGGTTTAATCGCATTATCTAAAAACAACTAAGTACCTGAACCCAATGATTTCTGTTTACAAAACCAATGCAGTAAATTGCTACATTCGGTGAAAATGAAGATGTCATAGGGAAGAAAGTCCAGCATTCAATTCCTAAACAGACAAGTACAATATTATAACGATTCGCTATCATGTAACCCATATCTGGTAGAGTTAACCATTTATGTGGTGGCTGAGGACCAAATTCCTCTATCATCAAAGATTCTCTCACTACTGCTAACTGATCAGTAAATAAATTGACATACAAACTTGATCTTTCATTATGTATTATTTCCAACCCCAAGTCTCGACGAACCATTGGCCACCATCTTCACCATATCCATGCAATGAAGCAATGACTCGAAATCCACAATTACCATCTGATACAACATTAACTACATCATCAATATATGACCTGATGTGATTAGGAAATTGAAGGATGAACTGCTTAGATGACTGTGAAGATTGTGATAATTTCAACTTTTTCGAAGCCTGTGATGGTTGAGATTTCTTTTGTGAAGACTGTGATAATTTCAATTTCTTCGAAGTTTGTGATGGTTGAGATTGCATCTGTGAAGATTGAGATGCTTGATCAACATACTCGTGATACGAAGGGTCTCTATAAACATCATATCCTACTGGTTTTTTGTATTTCTTCTTGACTCCCCCTTTAGTTTTTATTTTCTCAGGTGGTGGACACATAGAAGTCATTGTAGGGAAGGCAAGTTCAAAAACCCTACTTTTTAATGCCCTTTTCCCAACAACATCCAGTGACTTAAACCTTTTCCATAACTCATCTATTGCACTACTCATATCCACCTCTGATCCATCATCTACATCTTCGTCCAACTTAACTTCCATAATTAGTTTTCTCCAATGAACATGTACAACATCTATTTGTATCGGTAAACCATCAATTCTATATCCTGTCAACTCACAAGCACAAGGTAATCCGTAGGTTGTTCTAAGAGTACAACAACATATTTCCTTGTTAGTTCCAACATAATCAACTCGTTTTAACTCTTCAGCAATGCGTCTCAATGCATCTCGAGACACTGAACCACGTAAATTATTGTAAAATGGACTTACGTGGGCGTGCTTAACTTCATAAAAACTCTTTTAAAAAGAAGCTCTAATACTACTCAATTGTAACTTTAAGTTGTCATTCATAGCCTCCCAACATTTGACCATGTCACAAATACTGTTCCCCAACATTTGCTTTAACTTCCAATGAGCAGACTCAACCTTAAAATTAATACATATTTAAAATATTTTAAAAAAATTCAAAAAAAAATATACAATTTAGAAATACTAAAAATAAATACATACCGATTAGTCGTGGTGTTACCCAAATGTATCACTCGATTAATCCATGCTTCAACAAATCTTTGTTTATGTGGTGTCAACCATGTGTCTTTCATATAATCAATAAATTCATTACAATCAACACACGCCTACTCAAGTTGGTTCAACCTTTGATCATACTCAACCTCATCACTAGCCCATACAACATTCGTCCATAATTCGTCAATTTTCTTTTGCATGTCACTAGCCACATATTGTTTCCGTTTTGCACCAACATTCTTGTTAATATGAAATCGACATAGCATATTGATCGACCTTGGAAACACAATTTCAATGGCTTTCATCAAAGCAAGATCTCTATCTGTCAAAATCACTTTTGGACACAACTCTTTCTTCACAAACAATTGTTTAAGCTTATCTAGCACCCAACAAAAAGTCTCAGTTTGCTCAGACTCAATATAGGCAAATGCGACAGCAAAAGTCAACTCGGTTGATGTCATGCCAACAATTTCAAACAGAGGTTGCCTATATTTGTTTGTCTTGTAAGTGATGTCCATAACTAGCACAATAGGAAAAATATTCAACAACTTAACTGAATCTGGATGAGCCCAAAAGATATCTCTAATTACTTCAGAGTCATCTCTTTTTCTACTCCAATAAACATAACCTGCTTCCTCAATAAGCTTTAAACAAATGATGTATCTCACTTCTAGGACCTCTTATATTTTTTTTGTATCATACTCTTCTATTTGTATATTTGCATGATCCGAGTGACATTATCTGGATCTTGCTCTTGCAATGAAAGCAATATATGTCTAGGTGGAACCTTTCTCTTTGTTAAATCAACAACATGTTACTTCTGATCCGCTGTCAACCTACCGACAAATGTGTGACCTTCTAATCTATCAGGTAAATCATGGTTATGAACTCCACATTTTACATCAATCTTCCATCCAGATCCATCATTCGCTGGAATTGATCTGATTCTAAATGGATATCCACATTTTTTCGTCGCACTCTGGGTTCCACTATCAATATCTCTGTGTTTCCCCCCTTTATCACATCCAAATATTAATTTGTTACTTCTTCCTCTCTTGCCTATTTTAATATCTGAACGAGTGATGATAATCGTAACTTTATTTCGGATTCCGATCTCTTTAATCCATCTTATTACCTCTTCTCGTGTACCAAATCTTTGAGTTGTTGAAAAAATATCAGACGTATCTACGCATATTTGATCTTTATCGCATATTTGTAAAGGAATTTCTGAAACCTCTTCTCGTGTACCAAATCTTTGAGTTGTTGAAAAAACATCAGGCGTATCTACGCATATCTAATCTTTTATCGCATATTTGTAAAGGAATTTCTGAAATAATTACATAAAAAAATTCAAAAAAAAAAAAATTGGACAATTCAAACCGGAAGACTTGTAGCAAGAGTTCCGGTAGCCAAAAAAACAAACCGGAAGACTTGTAAAAAGTCTTCCAGTTTGTTTTTTTGGCTACCGGAACTCTTGCTACAAGTCTTCCGGTGAACACCCACAAGAATTACCAAACCGAAAGTCTTTCCTGAAGTCTTTCGGTACATTATTTTTGTGAACCGGAACTCTTTGTCCAAGTCTTTCAGTTTGAGAAAAAAAGTCTACCAGAAGTCATTTTCAAAGTGTTCCGATAGATAGTGGGATGAATTTCTCGGAAGTCTAAAAAATCTAAAAAGTGAAAAAAATAATAAAATATTAAAATATATAAGGATAAAATGGGTATTTTAAAAAAATGTAGGGGTATGGGTATAAGTGCAGGGGTATAGAGTAAAATTTCCTGAATTTCTACGGTTGGACTCTAATGATAATTTTATAACTGTCGATGTCCAAATCCTACTGAATGACCAAAGATAATTAGGCCCAGTATATGAAACCCATAAATTTTTGGCCCATGATTTTTTAACTTCAAAAACCAACCCTAGTAACAAGAATGATATTCCTCAAACTTTTTTCTCGCTGCATTCAATCATGTTAGAAAGGGTAGTGATAAAACAATACGTTATATGAGTACTTGTTGTTCTATTTTTTGGGTTTACAACATTGTATTATATTTTTAACATCTTTTAATTACTGGTATCCAGATTTAAAGACTCTACATCATTAAAACTAAAGAAACAACTATCTTAAAAACTCTTCATCATCAAAGCTAAAGAAGTAACTATCAAGAAACTAGGGTAAGTTTTTATTTGTATATTTTTGTTTAGTGTTTTACTTTTTTTTTTTAAATTATGACTTCTATTTTTAGTAATGTTAGATTTATATCGTAATAAATGATTGAGTTTGTTTGGGTCTTGTTTTAGGTTTTTTTTATAGTTTATTTAGTTTATGGATTTCTAACTTCTATTTTATTTGTTGGAGTTCAAATTTTGCAGGCTCAGTGTGGTGGTTGTGGTTATGGTGTTTATCAATCAAATAAGTTCTACTATTGACATCTCACCTACACAATCACAAGCTGAGGTTGAAATTTCAACAAGTACTTTCAATTAGAAATGCAAGGTGGAGATCCTTTTAACAAAGAGTGTGTTTGGATGAGGTAATTGAAATTTTTTAAGAAAATTAAAATTCTAAGCAATTCAAATGATTCAATTGAAATTCATTCATTTTTAAATTTTTTTGTTCGTATAGAGTATTAAAATAATTTATTGTTAAATTTTTTTGGTCATTTTTATAAATTTTTAAACTTTTGACCAAATTTAAAATATAAAAAGTAGATACTAATTTACAATTTCTGAAATTTTGAAAGGACAAATTGTAAAATTTAAAAATTATAAGAGACTTATTTACAAATTTTTTAAAATTTTGATGGTGAATTTGAAATTTTCATAAATTATGAGGACTACTTTGTAAATTTTAAAAAATTAATATTAAACAATTTAACATTCCTACTATATAGAGTGAAAACGCATTTTCATATTCTTTACATTTTGGTGTCATTTGAAATTCTTTAAATTTAACTTAAATAAAATACTTCGTAAATTTACATCATTTTAACGATTCTCCATATTTTGTTTCTAAACAATAAACTTTGGTCAAGCCATTTTAAATTCCCTCAAAAAATTACTTTCCCTTATTAAAATGTTTTATCCAAACATACTCTAAGAGTTTATATCTTTTTCTTGTTTTAATATTTGTGTTTATTTCTGATTCAGTTTGATAACAAGCAATTGCAGATAGAATTTTTTTGACCAAGAGTTTATATATTTTGCTTGTTTTAATATTTGGTGTTTCAATCACCAATGAAAAAGTTTCTAAACATACTTTAGTGACAACATGCTTGGCTTGTTTTGCAATCCCCTCAGTCTATACTATCTATAAACTAGAGTAGATCACTGATATACCTTAATTTTTAACCCTAAGATCCCACCTCATTAACATCTTCACAATGCATCAAGATCACAAACCTAGTTCTCCTCTAATTCCCTCTCCTTTGGGTTTGCGCTTGTAGAGATCCCCAAGCACTTATCTTTGTATCTTTTTCCTTTATGTTTATATGTTTTATGTTTCACTAACCACTAATCAAAATTCCACAAGTCGAGCATAAATCGAAGTCACAAATAATCAAATGAAAAGCATACCAAACAACATCATCAAAGCTCAACAAAAGCATCCCAACATCACCACATTATGTGTCAAAGCATAGTAAAAGATTGACTCAAGGAAAGGTGTGCAAAGCATCAAAAACCTAAACCCTAATTTAAGAGCAAAAGTGGAAACACCTTTTTAAAATAAATAAAAATAAAATAGAAAAATAATTTTAAAAATAAAATAAAAAATGTGAAAAAAACTAGAGACATTAAAATGTCTAAAATATATTTTTATGACATTTGGAACTATTAAAAATAAATAAAAAATGGAAAGGAAAAAAAGAAAATAAAAAGAAGAAACAAATGGGGTGGGGGTGTATCAATAAAGAAGAATGAACATGAGTTATGTTGTGTGCGTGCTGGCAAATAAAGAGGGAGTGCAGAAAGCAAAATAATGGGCCCAATCACTTAAATCCAGAACCTAAACAACTAAACAATGCCACGCAACATTCATTAAAACACATCATCACCAACTCAGCGCCACGTGAGCAAAGACTACAGTCAAACATGACACATCACCAAACATGACCAGATGCCAGATGTAACACCCCAAATCTAAACTTGCGGATAACAGGAAAAACAACAATTCATATAGCAAACAAAACGCAGCAGCGCAAACGTTGATTGCATGACGGTCGTCATGAGCCTGTGACGGTCGTCACACGGACAAAATTCCTCATATCAGAGATGTTACACTTCAACCTGACAGACAACAATCATTATGCAACAACTTGTAAATATCATACGTAGCACGAAATTGGATGAACAATCACCAATGCATTACTTAACCATTTAATCATAAAACAACTCGTCATTACTTCCGGTGGAAGTTCGATAAAGTATACAACATGTTCTCTTAAAACAATTTAATAAAAACATCGTAACAAGTTCAATCAACAATAACATCGACTAAAATAATAACAACAATCGTC